CTCCCTGCCGGAGTAAGGGAAGTCTCTCTGAGACCAGCTATCAGGAAGAGGTTCAGACCAGGGTCACTTGGGTGGGACACTCTCCAGGCTCCCAGCTCTGTGAGCTGTCACCCATGCCGTGGTGGGCTTTGGTGATGCAGCTGTCTAAGTCATGTCTGCTCCTGTAAGAACCTCTCACCCTATCCCTGTAAGTAACCCCAATAAATTCAGGGGTTCACCAAGTTGGACTTGGTGGTGTCTGTACTTGGCTGTGTCCTGGGCCCCCTATCCAGGGTGAGTTGATGTGTACTGTGTCTCCCCAGGAAAAGTTTTGTCGAACAACACTCGGGGATCCCGTGAAGCACACATTGAAGCGTACCCCACACTGGGAAGGCAGAGGACACTAGGACCCGAGCTCCAGAGGCTTACCTGAGGTGCCCAGGGCTCCCCTTCCGCCTCAGAACTGCTGGAGTTGCTGTTTGTACGTCCTGCTCTGAGGAGCGGGGCAGGCGGGGAGGCCTCCAGCCGCATTAGGGAATCCTCCAGTTCCCGCACCTGCCGGTGATGGGGGATCAGGCTGCGGCTTCACATAATACAGACAGTTCTGTCAGCAGCAGGAACCCAACCAAACCCTGTCCATGTGACCTGGGACAGCTCCTCGGCGGCCACTCACCTGGGGATCGCAGCTACTAGCAGCGGGGTGGGGAAGGTGGGACAGTCCCACTATTTTTGGATTTATTTATTTTTATCATTTCGTGTGCATTGGTGTTTTGCCGGCATGTATGTCTGTGTTGAGTCGCTGGGAACTGGAGTTACAGGCAGTTGTGAGCTGCCATGTGGGTGCTGGGAACTGAACGTGGGTCCTCTGGAAGAGCAGCCAGTGCTCTTAACCCCTGAGCCCGCTCTCCACCCCCTGACTTTTTTCCTTTCTAAATTTTCTTAGGAGACTCAGTGTTTCCCTGAGTCGTCTGGATCTCCCCAACTCAAGTCATCCTCCTGTCTCAGCTTTCCACGTAGCTGGGATTTCAAGTGTGCACCACCACACTCAGAAGAATTTCATTTTTATGTTGGTGAGAGGCGTCTCTGCAAGCTGAGTGCCCAGCCCCGCCCCCAGTGCTGGAGGAATCTAGGTTGGGCTTTGTGTGCCCTGCCCCCCTCCCGTTTTTACTTCTGTTTTGAGACAATGTTTGCCTATCTTGTCCAAGCCAGTGCTAAGTAGCTGCCTCAGGGTCTGGAGTTCTTAGTATCACAGGCTTGTCCAACCACGTCTGGGTTTGACATCACCCATAATCTGCCCGTTTCTGGTCACCTCCACCACGCACTCTGCGCCTGGACCACTGCTCTCGCCCCTCCCACCGCACCAGGGTCGTGGTCCACTGCCAGACTGTTCCTCTCACGGTCGGCAGATGGTGCAAGGGAGCAGCAGGTCCAGTCCACCTCAGAACCCAGAACCCTCTGCGGCCCCAGCACACACACAGCTCAGCTCTAAGTCCTGCTCAGCCCTCCACATCCTGCACACTGTGGTGGTGCCTCACTTGCCTTCATCTCCCCCGACTCTACTCCAGCCACGGTGATCTCAGGGTGTGTGTCACTCTGACATCAGCTAGAGTCATTTGGGAAGGGGAAATCACAGTTGAGGAAATGCTTCCCCCAGATGGAGCTGTGGACATTTTCTTGACTGATCTCACTGTGGGTGGTGCATCCCTGGGCAGGAGGTCCTGAGTTCCATAAGAAAGCAGGCTGAGCAAGCCAGTAAGCAGCACCCCTCCATGGACTCTGTATCAGCTCCTCCTCCAGGTTCCTGCCGTGGATTCCTGCCGTGGATTCCCACCCCGGCTTCCCTCAGTGATGGAGTGTGGCCTGAGAGTTTTAAGATGAAAAAAACCTCTTCCTCCCCAATTGCTTTTAGTTGTGGTGTTTTATCACAGCAACAGAAACCTTAAGACAGGATTATTTAGTGTGTGTGTGTGTGTGTGTGTGTGTGTGTGTGTGTGTGTAGTGCCCAGGGCCTCACACACTCTAGGCAAGGCCTCTACCACTGAGGTACTCTGAACCTTTAAAAAAACAAACGGGGGGGGGGGGGGTTGGGGATTTAGCTCAGTGGTAGAGCGCTTGCCTAGCAAGCGCAAGGCCCTGGGTTTAGTCCTCAGCTCTGAAAAACAAAACAAAAAACAAAAAACAAAAAGTGGAAAAAAACTGACACAGGGTCTGCTACCCAGGTTGGCCTTGAACTCAGTCTACAGTGGAGAATGACCTTGGTCTTGGCCGAGCGCCCTCTGACTTAAGATTGTCTCTCCTCAGCTTCTGGAGTGCCGAGATCATGGGGTGCTCCCTGCCTGGCTTCCTTCTGACCTTCAATCTGGGCCTCGATCCCCTCTTTCACTGTCTTCCTTGGTCACCTCTCGGGCACATCTATCTGTCCCTGCTCCATATGGGTTTGTTGAATGAATACATGTGTGTATGTTCCCGAGGCACGATCTGCCCCCTCCCCAGTCACCAGCTCACCTGTCTCTGCAGAGTCTCCTTCTCTGCCTGGGCATCCTGCAGGGATGCATGAGTGCAAGCCAACTCATCCTCCCTGCTGCCCAGGGCTAGCCGCAGCCAGGCATTCCTCTCTATGAGCCGAGCTGCCTCCTGCTGTCCAGGCCCGGCTTCTTCCTGATCACCAAAGGACCCTGGAGTCCCGTGGTCTCTGTCTTCTCCTTCCACCGGCCTTGGAAAGCTTAGGGAGCGGTGGCGCCAGGCTGCCACAGTGGCCTCAAGGGAGCTCAGCCTGCTCTCCAGGGTCTCAAACACACTGGGAACTGATGTCTCAGGAGGGCTACTATCCAGGGGGGCTGCCGGTGGGGTCTGGTGGCCTTCTGCCTCAGGCTGACACCGTTCTTCTGGCTTCAAGACTAGGGCCCCATAAAATCCCACACCACAATCATCCTCAGGCCTGTGAAGACAACCCAAGAACCCCAGCCACCTAAGGCTTAGTAGGGGCTTCGGGCCTAGACCTCAAGGTCCCTGGGAAGGGTGAGCAGGCAGGGAGCTTCGTGGAAGAGAAGGAAGAGGATGGAGGAGGGCAGAGGAGGCAATGGGAAGCTAAGGCAGAAGTGTGTGTGTGTGTGTGTGTGTGTGTGTGTGTGTGTGTAGCTTTGTGAGGGGCACCTGCTGGAATAGGAAGTTCGCACTAAATCTGTCCTACCGGTTCCCTGGGCTCTGCAGGTTAGGACCAAGGTGTTCCTGAAGCAGCCCAGGTTTGGCCTCGAAGCTTCCATTGGTGGTCTCCACCTCCTCTGAACTCTCAGCCACAGGATCCAGCTCCCCCTGCAAATGACCCATCCGGCAGGCTCTCAGCCACCAGGTCCAGGTGCTCCTGAGAATGACTGACCTCTCTCCCCTCACTTCAGGTTCTGAGCCAAGGAGGCCTGGGTTCCAGGATCCATAGAGCTGGGAGCTGGGTGCGGCAGGAAGAGGGGCAACTTACGGGCGGAGGATGCCTCCCTCGACGGCTTCGGGGCCGGGTGGCCCGGGCACTCATTACCTCTTTCACCCCCTGATTACAGACGGCTCTCAGATCTTCCCTTTGTTGCCCTGGGTCCTTAGGTTTTTTTCCGAAGCAGGAGTTTTGGGTCAACTGTGTTGATTGAACACATTTGAATATTTGATTACCTCTACCGATGGCGCCCCTACTTGTCCATTTGCCCCAACCTCTCGCCCCCTTCTCTACCTGGCAATCCTCTTCTCTCAGCTGCCTGAATGCATTTTTCTTATCTGTGTTCCCCTCTCTCCGCTATGAAGGCGTGGGATAGGGACCCCAAGAATCCTCTTTCCTCCCACGACGCTCCTAGCACCAAACTCCCTCTCCCTGGGTGGGGTGGGGGCTTCCAGCCCTCTGCTCTGCTCCAGAGCACCTTGGGAAAGGCCTGAGCTCCTGGGCGCATCTCAGGTCACCCTGGCCATTGGCTGCTGAGGCTGCGCTGGCCAAGGCTGGCCTGGGAGGAGCTGAGAAACAGGAAGCCCCCTGCCCTGGTCACATGGACAGTTATTGTCTTGTTTCCTTCTCCAGGATGTCAGCTTCCTCCAAAACGGGGGCCGGATGGAGGACCTGGAGCCTTGTCCCACTCCAAGATATCAGCCCCACCACCCCCACCCCAGCCCAAACCTGTATGTAGTCTCTCCATTTCCACTTCAGGTTTTCTCAGTGTCCCCGTGTTCACCAGGGCTTACTCCACTGTACGGGCTTTTTTTTTTTTCTTTATTATTTTTATTTTTGTGTGTTTCTAAAACAAAAACAAAAAACCTGTAGGAGTGGGCTCCAGCATTGGAATAAAATTTTACTTTCCATTACTTGCTTTATTTATTTGTGTCTGTGGGTGGGTAAGCCACATGCGCTTGTGGGAATCGGTTCTCACTTTCCACCATACAGGACTCTAGGATCGAGCTCAGGTCTTCAGGCTTGGTGGTTCCTGCACCCGTTCACCGGCAATGTTTCTCTTCAATGAGACTGACTGCTGCTCGAGTGGAGCACTGCTTGTCGGCGTCAGAAGGCTCCCGTGAGACAATGAGCCTTGTCCACAGCGTGTCTGCTGGCTTCTCTTTTTACTTTTTCTTTCCATTTTGGTTTTTAGAAGGGTCTCCTATAGCCCGGGCTAGCCTAAACACGTGATCTTCGTCTTCTGACCTCTGGATGACAGGTGTGCACCATCAGTCGGCATGGCGATAGTATTGGATGAATGACAACATATGTAAAATAAGGAGCAGAAATAATAACTGAGCCTGTCTACCCCGTCAATCATCAATAAGCCCCGCCCAGGCCGATCTCCTCCATCACAGCAGAAGCCTTGACAACTGTAGTCTGCTTAAGCTAGAGCTACAAGCTCCGCCCAATCGTGCTTCAGTCAACATCGGGTCACACTCATTCCCAATACTACCCCAGTTCAGCCCTACTCCTGCCAGTTATACTCTAAGCCACACCTCCAGGATCGCCTCAGCCTATCAGCCATTGAACTACATTTCCCAGAAGGCCTCACGGCAAACCGTACAAACTTCCGGTCAGGAAGATGGCGGCTTCCTAGATCCCTGAGATTGACTGGCCGCGGTACCTGGGCTGCAGAGTGGAACCTGGCGGAGTGACCGCGCGCGAGCTTTGTGTCGCTGTGGTCAAACTTCGATACGGCTTGCTGCAGCTCCAGGTTCGTTCTGTTTGAGGAGCTGGGGGCTGCGCAGTCCCGAGACGTCACCCCGAGAAACGCACATCCATTGCACGGTCGGCGACTTGGGCTTCTGCCTCCCCACAGACCTGATCACCCGAGTCCGCTCCCGGCTCTCGTGCACGATCCAGTCACCCAGGCGCTGTAGCCTCGGGTGACAGAAACCCAGACACAAGCTCGCCAAAGCCAGCAAGGCAAGTGGGGCGCCCAGGAAAGGCTTCAGGCACACCTGGATCCAGGCACCCAGAAGTGGTGTGCAGCCTGGGCGTCTCATCGCGCAGGCGCCGCCTCAGAGGAAAAGGAGCTTTAGGAAACCTTCAACTGTATCTTCTCAGCTCCGCAAACCAATTAAGTCTCTTTTCCTTTTCTGTCTCCCGGAACTCTCAGGTGTGGGAGCCACCGAAGGCCTTAGTGTGTCAAATAGCCACCTCTGAGTTTTCCCGGTGACCAGGCAGTTGTGTTTATTGGCCCAGTGAAAGGCAGAGACGGTGTTTGCCCTGTTGTAAGAAGTGGAAAGCTAAGATTGGGTCACAGTTCATTTGGTAGAGTGCTTGTAGCTCAGTGGGTAGAGTGCTTGTAGCTAAGTGAGTAGAGTGCTTGTAGCTCTGTGAGTAGAGTACTTGTGGCTCAGTGGGTAGGGTGTTTGCCTAGCACGTATGAGGCCCTGGGTCTCCTTCCTCAGCACCACATAGACCGGGCGGGTGTGGTGGTGCGCTCCCTGCACGCCGAAGGTGGATGCGGAGGGTCAGGATTACCAGGTCATCCTAAGCCATACAGTGAGTTAGAGGCCAGCCTGGGCTACAGGAAACTGTCACAAACAAAAAAGAAAGAAAATGAGAAAGCTGTTATTTACTTCACCAGTGGGTGGTTTGACCTCACTCTTAAGGGAGACTTTCGGCAACCACCAGCGACTCGCGTGCGGCAAGGGGCTCCTGGCTCAGCTTTAGGCTTTAGTAACCGATTGCTTTTAAAAACTCTTAAGGCAGGATCCTGGCTTCTGCTATCCCCTCTCCATCCAAGCACCTAGGAGCCATGGAGGTGGCTGAGGCCAATAGCCCCACTGAGGAGGAGGAGGAAGAGGAGGAGGAGGAAGGGGAGGAGCCGACACTTGAGCCCAGACCTCACACACGCTCCAACCCTGAGGGGGCCGAGGACCGGGCCCTGGGAGCTCAGGCCAATGTGGGCAGCCGCAGCGAGGGTGAGGGTGAGGCGGCCAGTGCAGATGATGGGGCAGCCAGTGTCCCAGGAGCCGGGCCCAAGCCCTGGCAGGTACCAGCACCAGCACCTGAGGTCCAGATTCGAACACCACGGGTCAACTGTCCAGAGAAGGTGGTATGTCTTGGCTGAGGATGCAGGGGATGGGGGCTCTCAGACAAGACACTCTTGCCTTGTGAGATTCTCTAAGTTGTTCCATGAGCAACACACTGGGTGGCTTAAACATCACTGAATTTAGATTCTTGTTTTTTTTTCATTTTTTTTACTTTTTGGCAACTGGACCTCTCACTGGGGATTCTAGGCAGGGGCTCCACCCCTGAGCCACGCCCCCAGCCCCTCACTGAGGATTCTAGGCAGGGGCTCCACTCCTGAGCCACGCCCCCAGCTCGCTCCTGAGCCCTGCCCTCAACCCCTTTTGGGTACTGCAGTCTGGGTCCCGCCCTAGCTGTCCTGGCTCTATCTGGTTTGGTCTTGTACTTCCTGTCTTCTATTTGTGTTTCAGATCATCTGTTTGGATCTTTCGGAGGAGATGTCTGTGCCAAAACTGGAGTCCTTTAATGGGTACGGTGGCGTTGGGCTCAGACATGGGCAGCTCAGAACGCATGGGGTCCTTGTTCTACCCAGTAGGATCCGGGATCCACGATGCCTCAGGTTGATGGGGCAGGCTACTGTCAGGTTTCCTAGAGGCTGTTGAGCTCTGTGTGCCCCCAGCAGCTGGGGTATCGGGCGTCACATCTGGAGTGGCCTCAGGGCCCTCCCTGTAAGGGATAAGAATAAGGCTACAGGACTCGGTGGCACACACCTGGCATCCCAGCACTGGGAGGTGGAGATGGAGGAATCAGGAGTTCAAGGTTCACCTGGGCACTGCAGTAATTTGGGTACCAGTTTGGGTTCCACAGCAGGTTTGAGGCTAGCCTGAACTAACTACATGGTGAGTTTGAGGCTAACTTGGTGTATTAGTCAGGGTTCTCTAGAAGGACAACACTGATAGAATGAATCTGTGAACATATACATAGACATTTATATATACACATACATATATATATAGTGAATCTGTGAACATATACATAGACATTTATATATACACATACATATATATAGAGTGAATCTGTGAACATATACATAGACATTTATATATACACATACATATATAGAGAATGAATCTGTGAACATATACATAGACATTTATATATACACATACATATATATAGAGAGAGTGAATCTGTGAACATATACATAGACATTTATATATACACATACATATATATAGAGAGAGTGAATCTGTGAACATATACATAGACATTTATATATACACATACATATATATAGAGAGAGTGAATCTGTGAACATATACATAGACATTTATATATACACATACATATATATAGAGAGAGTGAATCTGTGAACATATACATAGACATTTATATATACACATACATGTATATAGAGTGAATGAATCTGTGAACATATACATAGACATTTATATATACACATACATATATATAGAGAGAATGAATCTGTGAACATATACATAGACATTTATATATACACATACATATATATAGAGAGAGTGAATCTGTGAACATATACATAGACATTTATATATACACATACATATATATAGAGAGAGTGAATCTGTGAACATATACATAGACATTTATATATACACATACATGTATATAGAGTGAATCTGTGAACATATACATAGACATTTATATATACACATACATGTATATATAGTGAATCTGTGAACATATACATAGACATTTATATATACACATACATGTATATATAGAGAGTGAATCTGTGAACATATACATAGACATTTATATATACACATACATGTATATATAGTGAATCTGTGAACATATACATAGACATTTATATATACACATACATGTATATATAGTGAATCTGTGAACATATACATAGACATTTATATATACACATACATATATAGAGAGAGTGAATCTGTGAACATATACATAGACATTTATATATACACATACATATATAGAGAGAGTGAATCTGTGAACATATACATAGACATTTATATATACACATACATATATATAGAGAGAATCTGTGAACATATACATAGACATTTATATATACACATACATATAGAGAGAGTGAATCTGTGAACATATACATAGACATTTATATATACACATACATATATATATAGAGTGAATCTGTGAACATATACATAGACATTTATATATACACATACATATATATAGAGAGAGTGAATCTGTGAACATATACATAGACATTTATATATACACATACATATATATATATAGAATCTGTGAACATATACATAGACATTTATATATACACATACATGTATATATAGTGAATCTGTGAACATATACATAGACATTTATATATACACATAATGAATCTGTGAACATATACATAGACATTTATATATACACATACATATATATAATGAATCTGTGTACGTATACATAGATATATATATGTATATATATGTATATATTTGCACACACTTACGTATATAAAGGGGATTTATTAGAGTGGCTCACAGGCTATGGTCCAGCCACTCCAACAATGGCTGTCTACCAAGGGAAAGTCCCAGAATCCAGTAGTTGTTCAGTGCACAAGGCTGGATGTCTCAGCTGGTCTTCAGTAGATGCTGCAGTCCTGAAGACGTAGGCTCTGATGACAGCGAAGGAATGGACTTGCTCAGGAAAGCGGGAGCAAGGAGGCAGAGCCCTTTACGTAGGCTGCCAGCAGAGGGCGTGGCCCAGATTGCAGGTGGCTCTTCCCACCTCAGAAGACCTGGACAGCAGTGGGTCTTCCCACTTCAAATGATTTGTTAAGAAGAGTCCTCCCAGCCATGCCCAGTCCCTTGGGTTTTAGTTAATTCCAGATGTGGTCAGGTTGAGAGCCAAGCCTGGCTGTCACACATGGCTGTCTGTAGCATCGCTGTCACCCCACCTCTTCCAGCTCCAGGACGAATGCCCTGAACGTGTCTCAGAAGATGGTCGAGATGTTTGTGCGCACGAAGCACAAGATTGACAAGAGCCACGAGTTTGCACTGGTCGTAGTGAATGATGACTCTGCTTGGGTGAGGCTGGGGGTAGACAGCGACTCTGGGAGACCTCAGGACCGGGAGCCCCAGCACTGAGGCCCTGCCTTCCCCACAGCTGTCTGGCCTGACCTCTGATCCACGTGAGCTCTGCAGCTGCCTGTACGACCTGGAGACAGCGTCCTGCTCCACGTTCAGTATCCTTGTCTGTGGCCCCAGATCAGCTATAATGGGGGCTCAGAAGTATTGTGGGGTCCTTCCAACACAGAGCCCAGGTTGAACATCCAGAATCCAAAAAAATTCAGAATCTGAAATCGGTGCTTTTCTATAGTTGTTGGTTTTTGACACAGGATCTTGCTGTATAGCCCAGGCTGAATCCATGATCCTTCTGCCTCTGCCTCCTGAGTAGAATGACAATGGTTCAGAACCATGTCCCTAATTCTTTATTTTTAATTATTTATTTATTGAGACAGGGTCTCATTATGTAGCCCAGGCTGCCCTGAAACTCAGTATATAGACCAGACTGGCCTCATCACTGAGATCCACCTGCCTCTGCCTCCCAAGTGCTGGGATTAAAGGTGTGCCCCCCCCCCCATCAAATATAAAAATGTGTTTTAGAGACTGTTTCTCATGTAGCCCAGGCTAGCTTTGAATTCACAGTGTAGCTAAGGATGGCCTTGAGCTCCTGATTCACCTGCCTCCACCTCTTAAGTGCTGGGATGACAGTGTGCTGGAGAGGAGCCCACAGCTACATGAATGCTAAGCAACTGCCCTAGCAACTGAGCTAAAGCACTCTAGCACCTGAACCCTAGCCCCAGCAAAACTCAGAGATTTTGTCCAGTGAGATCACAAAAACAATATTCCATGAATGACATTCTAGGAGTCACATTCAAGACCTAGCACCAGGCAAGGTGCTGGGGTACAGGAGAGTCAACCCAGCACTCAGGAAGCTGAGGCCGGAGAATTGCAAGTTACAGGCCAGCCTTACCTACAATCTAGACTCTGTTTCAAAAGCACAAAATCAGGAGAAAAAAAGAAAAAAGACAACAGAAAGCTGACTACTTTTCTTTTTTGGTTTTTCGAGTCAGGGTTTCTCTGTTTAGCTCTGGCTGTCCTGGAACTCGTTCTGTAGACCAGGATGGCCTGGAACTCACAGAGATCCACCTGGGATTAAAGGTGTCACCACCGCCCTGCAGAAAGCTGGCTACTAATACACAGTAATGCCAAACCCCAAAGCCACCCAGAACCCAGGCCCCGCAGGGTCCCTGGCATCCATCCTGAGTGGTGGAGGGATGGTGTCAGTGAGTGTGATCTAGCAGGTGGCAGGGGCACCCGGGGACTGCTTCGCTGAAGCAGGGCTGGCATGCAGTTGGTGCAACTTAATTCAGGTGATTTTACCTGAAAAGTCAAAACCATGTCTTTCAACCTGTGGCCCCTAACATGGAGGATGCTCCCCCAGAATTAAGGAAGCAGTGGAGATGTGGCATGACAGGAGTCCTAGAGGGTCTGTAGGGGGCTAAGGCCAGCACCCACTTTATGATGTGTGAGAGGAAGCAGGCTCAGAGAGGTGCAGTGCTGGGTGGGGACACACAGCCTACCCAAGGGGTCACATTGCCTGTCCCCAGGGGTCACACTGCCTTCCCCAGGGGTCACACTGCCTACTCCAGGGGTCACACTGCCTTCCCCAGGGGTCACACTGCCTACTCCAGAGGTCACACTGCCTTCCCCAGGGGTCACACTGCCTGTTCTCAGAGGTCGCACTGCCTGCCCCCAGGGGTCACACTGCCTGTTCTCAGGGGTCGCATTACCTGCCCCCAGGGGTACCCGCCATCTCCCAGGATCCAGGTCAGGGAAACCCCCTGCCTCCGAGCTGGCACCTGGTCCTTAGCGTCCCTCCAGATCTGGAAGGCCTCTTCAGTCTCATGTGAGTGCTCATCCAGAATGGGGCATGGCCTTGGGTTCCTTCCCCAGCAAGGTGCAGACAGCCAGACAGCCGCCTAAGGCTGTCCAGTGGGTGGGGCCACAGGACAAACCTTGTGTCCAGCGGTGGAGCTTGAATTTGTTTTCCTTTGAGAATGCTTTTAAAGAAGTCTTATACATTTTTCATTATGTGTTTATTTTGTGTGCACGCACATGTGCCACGGCGCTCGTGCGGAGGTCAGGGTCAACTCGTGAGAATCCCTTCTCGGCTTCTACCTTGTGAGGCCTGCGCATCGAACTCAGGTCCTCGGGCTTGGCTGCAGGAGCCTCTAGCCCCAGAACCGTCTCCCAGGCCCTGGCTTTCGGTTTAACATGCAGGGCCGCTAGGATTGTGGCCTGTGGGGAATCAGCTGTGATGGGAGGGGTTTGGGCCCGGGCTGGTAGGCAGCTGGGTACCGAGCCCGAGCCCTACCCCTCTGTAGCCAGCAGAAGACCGAGCTGCCAGTCACGGAGAACGTGCAAACCATCCCGCCCCCCTACGTCGTGCGCACCATCCTCGTCTATAGCCGCCCGCCCTGCCAGCCCCAGTTCTCCCTGACTGAGCCCATGAAGGTAAGCCTGGAGGGAAGGGAGAGCAGTGGTTAGACACCAAAGGGGACCCCCAGGACCACAGAGGCTGGGGTAGGCGCCCACCCACCCTCCCTCTCATCCACTGCAGAAGATGTTCCAATGTCCTTACTTCTTCTTCGACATCGTGTACATCCACAATGGCGCCGAGGAGAAGGAAGAGGAGGCGAGGTGGAAGGTGAGCTGACGCAGAGGAGGATGGAGGCCTGCCCCTCCCTCCCTGCCACTTGGCCCATCCGTCATTCAGTTGTACTACAGTTCCACTTTGAGCTGGTGGTGACTGGCTTGGGAGGCCGTGGCCTTAACAGCCCAGCCCACACCATCCCTAGCACCCCACTCTTCCTGACTTTACCCTCTGCACCCTCTGCCTGAAGGCCCACCCCTCTCGACCTCTCCCGGCCTCTCAGCTGCTTCACCTGACTTGCCGTGTGACTGTGATGGCCTCTAAGGTCTGTGGACTTCAGTTTACAGACTGTGAGGTGGGTCAGGTAAAGACCCTCACAGGCAAACATGAGGAGCTGAGTTCAATACCGGGACCATGATGGTGGAGACCTGACTCCCAAAGATTACACTCTGACCTCCACACACCTGCACTCAGTGCACACACACACATCCACACACACCCACACATGCACGTGCACGCGTACACATACACCCATGCACACACACATTCACACACTCATACACACACCCATGCGCACACTTGCACATGTGCACGCCTGTAACTCTGTCCCTCTACCTGTGAGTGAAGTACCTGAAAGGCTGAGGCAGGGGTTGTGACATGATGGTTTGTTGTGTGACAAGACTATTCCTGGAGAGACACAACACTCAGCCCCGAGAGTAGCCCAGGGCACACCAAAGTACAACAGACACCACAAAGTCAAGCTTGATGAACCAGTGAAGTTATTGGGGTTACTTACAGGGATAGGGTGAGGGGTTCTTACCAGAGCAGAAATGACTCAGACAGCTGCATCACCAAAGCCCACCCCAGCATGGGTGACAGCTCACAGAGCTGGGAGCCTGGAGCACACTGCACAGCCTGCAGCCTGGAGAGTGTCCCATCCAAGTGACTCTGGTCTGAACCTCTTCCTGATAGCTGGTCTCAGAGAGACTTCCCTCACTCTGGCAGGGAGGGGCCTAGTGAATCTGCTCAGTTTCAGGGACTTCCTGAGGCTGTTGAGTTGTTTACCTTCCTGTCTAAGGAGCTTCCTGCAGGATGGAATGTTCCTATCTCAGAGGAAACTGATACACACAGGAGGCTAACCTGAGCTACAGTGTGAGGCCTTGTTTGAGGAAAGAGAAAACACAAGGGAAAAGTCTCCTGTGTGGGGCCTTCAGACCTTCCCTCTGGTTTGAAGCAGAGTCTCTTGTTGCCACTGGCTGGCCCGAGTTCTGGATCCTCCCACCCTGCAGAGGGCATGCACTGGGATTAAGGCTATGTCCTGCTGCATTTAGCTTTCTATGGGTTCTAGGGTTTTGAACTTAGGTCCAAGTGCTTGCACAGCAGGCACCTTACTCACTGAGCCACCTCCCAGCCCCACACCGTGGGCTTCTAGGGTGCCTGGAATGAAAGCTGGGGTCCTGGTGCTGGGTGGATGTCAGGGAATGTTTGCTGACTGCATTAATAGTTTCTGGCCTGGCCAACTCCTCTTCACCCCTCAGAACCCTCTAGGAAGGCCTCCAGGGAGAGGGAGGGCCACTGAGGGCTATTGCCAACCCTGAACAGTCTCTCACCGGCCCCTGCAGGACATGTTCTCCTTCATGGGCAGCCTGGATACTAAGGGCACTAGCTACAAGTATGAGGTAGCACTGACTGGACCTGCTCTCGAGCTGCACAACTGCATGGCCAAGCTGCTGGCCCATCCGCTGCAGAGGCCCTGCCAGACCCACGCGAGCTACAGCCTGCTGGAGGACGAGGAGGCCAGCGAGGGAGAAGCCACCGTGTGACCCGTGACATTTCTGCGCCACTGGGGAGCTCTGTGCACCCACGTCCGCTCCTACTGTGTCCGCTGTAAATTCATCCTTCCTGGGACAGTTTGTCACCAGAATAAAATCTGAGGCTGCCGAGCCTGCCCTCTGGTCATTTTCGGTTCACCGAGACAGAAAACAGGTGCTGAACCAAACATTTGTGCATGGCTCAGGCTCAGGTGTATCTGGGTGTCCTGACAGAGCAGTCTCGTGCATGGCTTTGGGCTCAGCCTGGTCCATTTGGGTCCTGACACCACGGCTGTTGTGACCAGGCTGTGTGCTCCCTCGGCTGGTGCTAACTACACTTTGCAAACTCCTCTTCACCCTACAGAACCCACCCTGATGTCCTTTCCTCCAGGAAGTCCTCCAGAGACAGGGAAGACCTTTTGCAGGTGACAGTGATGTGACTCCCACAGGAAGTGTTTACTTTGGGGGTCCTCCTGGACACCCAAGGGTGCCAGCTCCAAGTGGAAAGTAGGTTGGGGTGACACCTATCACCCTACCATCCCAAACTGAGCTGTAGTGCTTGCTCAGTAACCTGACCTGATTGGACCTGTTTAGCCACGTGGATTCACCCTGAGGAGTCACGGCCCAGGATTCCAGGATGGGGACTTATGGTGAGCACCCCAGAAAAGGAATAAAAACCTGGAGCCCCTCCCACTCTCCCTTGTCAGGCCAGAGAGGTTCATCCACTCCACCTTCTCCATTCATAGAAAACGAAATGGCGGTGGGTGGGAGTCAGGCTCACTTTGATATGGGAGGCTGAGGCAGGAGGATGGCCAGTTCTAGTTCAGCAGGGGCTATATAGGGAAGCAGTGACTAAAAAGGAGTATGAACAAAAATAGATGGGGCCTGGTGATGGCTCAGCCATTCAGAGCCCAGGTTGTTCTTACAGAGGACCTGGGTTCGATTTCCACGTGTGGGCTCACAACTCCAGTTCCAGAGGATCCGGTGCCCCTTCTGGTCTCCATGGGCACCAGGCACACTTGGTACACAGACAGGCAAAACACTCACGCACTTGATTAATTTTAAACACTAGGTCAGCTTGATTAACCGCTTTCTTGCCCCTGCATTTATTGGCCACTGAGTACTGAGCCCTGCCCTCCCGTTTGCAAGTAAGGAAAATGCAGCTCTTTAGAAAAAATTATTTGTGTGCGTGCACACACTCTCGTGCAGGCACATGGCCAAGACAGGAGTGTGGATGTCAGTCTGTGGGTCCTGGGGATCGAACTCGGGTCATCATCAAGCTTGGCAGGAAGCATCTTTACCTGCTGAGCCATCTCGCTGCCCCTCACAAGGCCCTTCCTCACAAAACAACTGACAGCCAGCTCTGCTGGATTGAAAATGCGCGAAGCTGTTCAGCAAAGAGTCGGACCCCAGCACTCGGTAGTCTGAGGCAGGAGGATGGCGCTAAGTTCCTGGACAGCTTGGGCAAAGTCTAGGCCATCCAGTAGTTTGTTTTTGTTGTGTTAAAGACAAAGAGATGCCCCCTCTTTATCCCAAACTCCCCTGGAATTCGTGGTAATCCTCCTGACTCAGCTTTCCAAATCCCGGCATGGGTCCCCAGCTGCGCGTACGCCTTCCCCCTCGGAGTCCCCGCGGTTTGCCGGATCACAGCACACCCCTCCGTCTTTGTCAGCGGTTCCAGGCCCAGCCTGTCCACCTAGGGCGTCGCTGGGGCGGGGCCTAGAGGCAGAGCTGGGGCCGAGGGGCGGGGCTGCGCGTGCGCAGAGGTTGCCGCGCGAATTTGAACCCGGAGGGCGGTGACTCCGCCAGGATATGGCCGCTGCGGCCCGGCAACTGCTGGCCGCGCTGCGCGAGGAAGAGCCGCGGTGAGGGCGGGGCGGGAGGGTCCTCCGGGTCCCGGGGTGTCCAGGAGGGTTGGGGTCTAATGTCACCGTCTGCCGCAGGGCTGTGGAGGAGCTGCTGCGCCTCGGGGCCGACCCCAGCCTGGTGCTGGAGGATGGCGCGGCGGCGGTGCACCTGGCGGCCCGAGCGCGCCACCCGCGCGCCCTGCATTGTCTCGGCCTCCTGCTGCGCCGGGGCGCGGACCCCAATGCTCGGTGAGGCCCGGGTCGCCCTGGTGCGGTGGGTGTGACGTGGGGACCCTGCGGCGCTGGGCATCAGGCTCCGGGTCCCAGGCGTCAGATCTAGGAGATGTCTGCTCCCGAGGTCGGGACGAGGTGTCGCACACTGTTACTCCGGCACTCCGGAGGGTGAGGCAGGAGGAAGACCGTGAGTTAGAGTAACAACTTCCTCCTCACCCCCACGGTAGTGGGCACCCGTCCTCTCAGCACTTGAGGCTGAGGCGGAAGGAGCAAAGAGGTCAAGGCTAGCCCAGGGCACACGAGACTGCCTGGAAAAGGAACCTCCGCCGGACACCCCTCCTCTCTCTCCCGGGGTCCCAGGTCGGCTGAGGCGCTGACGCCCGTGCACGTGGCCGCCGCGTGGGGCTGTCACGGCGCCCTGGAGCTGCTGCTGAGCCGAGGGGGCGACCCCACGCTGAGAGACCAGGTCAGGACCCCGCTCAGGCGCACAGGGCGTTGGGAGGGCGGGCCGCGGGCGCCCTCTGCTGACCGTGTCTACGCAGGACGGCCTCCGGCCTCTGGACTGGGCTCTGCAGCAGGGACATCACAACTGCGCACGCGTGCTGCGGGACCTGGACACGCCCACCCGAACCCGGGAGGAGACCCCGAAGCCTGCCAGTGAGCAGAGTTGAGGGGGGTGCAAGGGACCTGTACACCGTCCCGCCTCACTGCTGGGGCCAGTTCCATATGCTCATCTGTCAGCTGTCAATCACTATCCATCATCTATCAGTCACATCACCTACCTTTCATCTATCACCTGTATCATCAACCATCTACGCCTATCTAGCCATCTATCATGTCTGTATCATCGTATCTATTTATGTTCATCGTATCTATGTTTATCTGCTTAGTTATCAACTACCTATACATTTATATATGTTTATGTTTAGAGAAGTTTCCTGTAGCCCCGGCTGGCCTTGAATCCGCCCTGTGCCCAGGACGTGTCTTTGCGGGGTCTCCTGGCATCTCTACACTTCCAGATGTGTCACTGGACTCGGGGCAGCACAGGCGCAGAGCTCAGCCGGCGGCTGCTGGGAAGGTGGTGGTGGAGCCCCGGAGCCCCGAGGCTACCGGGAGCCCAGACTGCAGCAGCGACTCCTCCTTTGTCACCGCATTGGAGGACTCTCTGCAGCCCTGGCACCCTGCGGGGACACCGGGGCCTGCGGGCAGCCCATGGCTGTCCTGTGGGGCCGAGGTGGCTGGGGACGGGGCACTAAGCTGCCAGCTGCAGGCCCTGAAGTTGACCACAGAGGCCACCAATGTCCCCTCCCTGCCTGGGGATGGGGACCCGGGGTCCTCGCACACACAAGGCCAGGTGCCTCCCATGTCTGACGTGCAGCTGCTCCAGGCCCTGAGGGCGCTGGGTTACAGTCCTGGCCCGGTCACTCCTTTTACCCGAAGACACTACCTGCGGCGGCTGCAGGAAGCCCAGGCTAGCCCGGGTGAGTCCCTTAGCGGCACTGGGAGTCTGGCCACACTCCTGGAATCCCGAGACCTGGCTGTCAGCCCCACCGCCCTCACCAGCCGTCCTCCTCGGCCCTGACTCCGTTTCACCTCCCAAACTGTTCCAGGGCACAGTCCAGAACTGGCCGAGGCGCTGAGGACAGGCCACATCCCTGACTGCCAGGCGGATGAGGCCGCCCTGGCTCGGCACTTTCAGCATCCGGATCCCACAAAGAAGTGGCGGGAAGGCGCTACAAAGTCCAGCTTTACATATCTTCTTCTCGACCCCAGGTATGATGGTGACCGAAAAGCTGTGGCTTGGGATTAGAACATGGCTCTGCAGAGCAGTAGCCTGGCCCCGATAGTTCTATCCTCGGCAGAGGTGGGGAGGGTTGTCCCTTGCTGATGGCTTCTGCCTTCATGAGAACGAGTGGGTGGACTCTGAGCTCCAGGTCTGGGTTGTAACAGGACAATTCTGTCTCAAAACTTCTAAACAAACAAACCCCAACAGATGGTGGGGATTTGTTTTTGATTTGCTGTGTGTCCCTAGGGAAGGGGCTAGCCGTCTCTGTTAATCTGCCGGAGTCGGTTCCGGCTGTGAGTACCCATTTCATGGCTTATAAAATAGGGGCCCCTGGATGTGGGTTCAAATGGCCCATGGCTCTGGGGACAGTGGTCTTTTTTCCCTCTCTGAGCCATGCCCCCACCCCACCCCTTTGTTTTTTTTGCACATTTCCATGCATGTGTCTGTCTGCACACACACGCACACTGGGGTGCACACGGCGGGGCTGGAGGGAGGGCAGCTTGTGGGAGTTGGTCTTCTCCTTCCATCGTGTGGGTCCCAGGGATGGAACTCAGGTGGTCAGGGTGGGTAGTAGGCTCCATCCTCTGAGCCCCTCTGTACCCCAGGCAGACGCAGGGCCTGCCCGCCCGAGCCTCCTCCCTCACTCTGACCGAGTGTCTGCAATGTTTTGTGCAAGCCATCTTCTATGTGGGCAAGGGGACCCGTGCCCGGCCAGATGCCCACCTCTGGGAAGCCCTTGGCTACCGTGAGCGGCCAGGGAAAAAGGTGGGGACAAGGGGCAGAGGTGGGCAGGGTCAGCCAGCCTTCAGCCAGTCGGAGGGCAGATGGCTTAGGACCCAACCCCTGATTGCACCACACTCCCCAGGCCTGTCCCAAGGTCCGCCGGATCTTGGATATCTGGGACAGCGGCCGCGGAGTCATCTCCCTACACTGCTTCCAGCACGTGGTGGCCGTGGAGGCGTACACGCGGGAGGCCTGTCTGTTGGATGCCCTAGGTAGGGTATGACTTCTAGGGCTGAGGTCATAGGAAAAGTATTTGAGCTCTGAATTCCCTCACGGTGGACAGTTACTGAGCACCGAGTGTGTACCTAGCACGTGTGTGTGTGTGTATGTGTACATTCTGTGCCGTTTGTTATGGTGGGGTGGAGGCCGCTCCTGTGACTTCATCTCTGATCTGCTCAGGGATCCAGACACTGACCAACCAGAGGCAGGGGCACTACTATGGAGAGGTGGCCTCTTGGCCACCCACGCAGCGGCGGCGTTTGGGCGTGCACCTGCTACATCGCGCTCTGCTGGTGTTCCTGGCTGAGGGGGAGCGAGAGCTGAGGCCCCAGGACATCCAGGCCCGAGACTAAGTGCTGAGGACGTGACCATGAAGCCTGAGCCTCTGGGGTGTCTGAGCATCCCAGGGGCAGGTCCCTACCTGTGTCCCCAGCTCTGGCTTCAAAGGCATTTTGTGTGTGTGTGTGTGTGTGTGTGTGTGTGTGTGTGTGTGCTTGCATGTGAAAGTGTGTATATGTGTGCTTAAATATGTGGGTGATGGTATGTCTTGGTGCTTCTGGATGGGTAGTGAGCTTCCCATCGTGGGAGGTAAACCAGCTGAGGGAGCAGAAGATACTCTAGAACATTCTGCTCTGTTTCCATGTCTCATCTTTTGATGGAAAGAGGGCTTGGAAGAGAGATCAGGCTAGGCGTGTTGGTAGTGGTCCAGCACAGTCTTTGGGAGGATGGGGCAGGAGGATGCTAGTTGGATGCCTGGGCATCTCAGTGAGACTGGAAATTGACTTGTATTTATATTTGGTTAGAGGCCTCTGTGTGTGTTCGGTGGTGACAGTCCTTCCCCATGTGGGTGTCCACAGGCTGGGCCCCTGGAGTGTTGTAGGAGTCCGAGGTCCCACCTGTGCTCTTGGGAGCATATCTAAGATCAAGCAAGGCTGAAGGGCTTGGACTGACTGCTGTGTGTGTGTGTGTGTGTGTGTGTAGTGTCCCCAGGGGTTCCTCTCTGCAGCCCTGTGCTGTGTCTAGCCCCTTGCCCTCCAAGCATCCAGCCAGCATGAAGCTGTGGCCTGCCTACCTGGTCCTCGCCCCTCTCCATCAACAAGTGGTTGTCTTCCTCAGTGAGCTCCAGGAAAGCGCCCAGCAGGATCTGTGGGCACACCGGGAAGTCCCTCCTGATGTCTACCCTTCAGCTCCATCCAGTAGGATCCTCAGGATGGCCTGTCACCCTGCTGGAGCCTCAGCAGGTATTCATTCACTCATTCAACACCTATTTAGCGCCTGCAGTGTGCCCAGGGTAGGACTTCTCAACCTTGGCTCTGCTGACGCTTGGGGTTGGGTCGTTGCTATAGGGACATCATGTGTGTTGTAGGGTGTTGGGCATCCTCCTTGGACACACCTCCTCTCCCCCACCTCAGGATGTCAGGGAAGCTCTGCCCTCTCCCCGAAGGCTGCCCGTCTGTCTTGGTCCACATCACCTGGAACCCCACTGTGGAAGAATAGTCCTCCGGAGCATCTAGCACCCTGCCCTGGCAGAGGCCATACTCATCCATAAACCACACCCACCATAAGCCTACCCTCTTAAACCAAACCACATCAAGGCTTGTTGCCTAGAAACCATACTCACCTGGAAGCTGTGGACCTGTGGCAGCCCTGTTCACTTGGATTCACACGTCGAGGACCACGCCCTCCAGAAGCCATGCCCCCAGGCTTCATACCCCTGACTGCTGTTTCAGTCTGGAGCCCCTCAAAATTACAGCCCTTCCGGTTCACTTAAGTGCTAGCTGTGGGCTAGCTGTGGGCCAGGAACCAGGTTCCCAGGTTCCCAGCTCAAAATCTGTTTTTTTCCTTTCTGTTTTTTTGTTTTGCTGTTTTTGAGACAGGATTTCTCTGTGTAGCCCTGGCTGTCCTAAAACTCATTCTGTAGACCAGGCTGGCAGAGTTCTGCCTCTGGAGTGCTGTGAATAAAGGCATGAGCTACCATGCCTGGCTCCAACTCAAATTCTTAATGTCTCTGTGGAGCCGGCAAAAGGAAAGTCATTAGCAAGGGTTTAGAGCCCTGAGGGCCTGGGACATTTGAGTGCTGGCCTAGCACGCAGGAGGCTTCGGGGGTGCAGGGGGTGGGGGGTAGAAGAGGGGGAAGAAAAGAGGGATATTGTGATAAGTGTGTGCCAGGCCTCCCCGAGTTGCCTGGTGCAACTCGGCCTCAATACGACAAAACACTTGTGGTTCTGTGTCCTTAGACAAGGGTCTGACCATCTCTGCTCGTCAGGTTCCTTAGAGAAGGTTTTGGGTAGCTTGCACTGGTGGAGCAGATCTGCAATCCTGGCAGGAAGGTCAGGAGTTCAAAGCCAGGCTCAGCTCTACAGTGTGTTTACAGCCACCTTCAGTTATGACTCACAGAGCAAAGAAAGCTATTGCACTATGTCCATGCTGTGAGTGCAGGATCCAACCTGCCACGTGGTTCCCTTGTGGTGCTAAGTTTTCCCTCCCCTGCCTCATCATTTCACCTGCATTTGGGGACAGTCCCTAGTGGGCCTCGTCCTTTTGTGTGCGGAGCTTTCTGTGAGCTGGGGCCTAGGGGCTCAGAGGTCCTGCAGAAGGAACCCACTTTGGAGTGGTGGTGGCTTGGCTTGGGGGTATCAGTGTCTGGGATGCAGCTGCTGCAGCGTCCTGCTTTTCTTCCTGAATGGGAGCAGTGACAACTGTAGCCTCAGGACTGAGCATGTGACCTGCAGCAGTATCTGACAGCCCCAGCTCTCCCGTGTGTGTGTGTGTGTGTGTGTGTGTGTGTGTGTGTGTGTGTGTGTGTGTGCGCGCGCGCACACGCGCACACACACACACACACACACACACACACACACACACACACATGCCCAAGCATGTGTTTGTGATTCTGCATCTCCCTCTCCGGGTGTGGGTGAACTTTGATCCATTCTGCTGGACAGGTAGTGAGCTCCCAAGGTGGGAGGGAAATGAGTGTGTTGGGGAACAGAAGTTAGAGCATTCCCCCACATCACAAGTCTTGTCATCCTGGGGAAGCAAGCAGAGAGGAAGTCTTCCTGCTGCTGTGGGGCAAAGCACGTGAGAGGGGAATGGTTATATTGGCTCACAGTTATAGGTTACAGTCTGTGGTTTCAGAGAAATCAAAGCAGAAACCTTGGGAACAGAGAGAAGGCGGGGTGGTCCATGCTCCTGGCTTGTGCATCCTGAGCTAGTTTCCGTCACTCTTATACAATTCAGGCCTCTGTGTAGGGGAAGTGCTTCCCACAGGGGGCTGGGGCATTGAACAATCAAGGCCACATTTCACCCTGATCTAGATAATTCTTTAAGAGTCTGCTCTGTTGAGCCAGGAGGCAGTGGCACACACCTTTAATCCCAGCACTCGTGAGGCAGAGGCAGGTGGATCAGGGCCAGCCTGGTCTACAGAGTGAGTTCCAGGACAGCCAGGCTATTACACAGAGAAACCCTGTATGAAAAAAAAAAAAAGTAAGTTTTTGCACTCTCCACCGATGAAGCAATCCAAATTAAACCTAATCAGACCGAATTGGAAAAGCCCAGGTTTAATGAGTAAAGCATTCCTGGGTGATTCTCAGAGAGGAGACGGGGATGAGAGATCGGAAGAACCACATGTCTGCTTTCTGGGATGCAGCTTATATACCCTGTGGGAGTGGTCTTGAGCCTCTCGGGGAGGAACAGGCTTTGAAGAAGCAGGTTTGAGGAAAGAGATGGGAGAGGGTAGTTGAGGTGGATCTTCCACCAGAACATTCTAGACTCTTTGGGTATAGGGATGCCAGGGTGCCAGGGGTTGAGGTGGAGCTCCCACCCAAACATTCTAGACTCTTTGGGTATAGGGACGCTGGTTCAAGTCTGACTACTTCCTGTGGGCATGGGGCGACTTGGGGAAGCAAAGTCAGGAATTGGTGAGCTCATATTCAGCAGGAGGTGTGAGTGGAGGAGCATCTGATTAATTGTCATCCTGGATACTTCAGGCATCTGTTTCTTGAAGCAAAGAGGGCAAGTTTCTAAGAAAAAATAGATCATTAACATCTGCCCTAGTTGTACTGTAAAGATGAATGCACAGAACAGAAGAGCAGATAGGCCCTTTATTGGGACATCTTGGAAAACCGGAGGGTGGAGGGTCCCAGCTGCTGGACAGACCATGTATCCTGAATAGGTGTCCACTTGAGCCTGGAGAGATGGTACCAGCATGGATGTCCCAGGAGCTTGGCAGATGAGGGGGTGGTGAGGATCACAGTATGAATGGAGAAGAAGCCTCAGAAGAGAGAGGTAGGGGAGGTACCCAGCCAGTGGGGGAGTTTGGGCTGGGAGGTGGTGACTGAGGAGGAAGGGCCTTCCGTAAAGAAGCTCAAAAGGGCTCAAACCTGTAGGAGAGCGTGGGGTGCCCTGGAGGCGGGTAAGGGCAATGGGGAGAAGGGAGGGCCAAGATAACCTGAGTTCAGTGGAGAGCTTGGAAGCCGTTGTTTGATGAGTCCATTGGCCTTTTCAGTTTTTCCTGAGGATAAAGGTGTCAACCATAGTTAGGAGGTAACAGAGTTCTTTAGGTGTGGGCATGTGAGTGAAGTCCACCTACCAATCCTCGCCTGGTTGGTGCCCTCGAAGCTGCAGAGGCTGACATATCTGGAGGGCCCCTGTGAATGGACCTGTGAAATACTCAGAAGAGTGTGGGGGCCAAGGTGAGTGTGGCCCCCAAAACTCTGAAAACGTTGCGACCAAGCAGAGGTGCAGGGCAAACAGGTATGACCAGAAAAAGTGTGAGAAGAATCACCCTGCAAGAATGCAGGAAGTGTCAGGGTCTTAAGTGGGAAGGAAGGGATCCTGTCCACCCCTGTGACAGAAATTGGTGAGGGAACTGTAGGACCTGAGTGAGATGTCAAAACAGAGTAGGCAGCTCCTGTGTCCAGAGGAAAGTCAATGGACTTACCCGTTACCCGCAGTATCACCCTAGGCTGGGAGAGGGCAGTGGGAGTCAGCAGGTCTAGGCCTCATCAGTCCTCTGCCAGGCTTAGGAGTTCAAAGGCCAGAAGAATCTCAGTTGCTGATGTTGGTGAGGCTGGACCTCCATGGCATGGCATAGAGGATGGGCCTGCACGGGGGCATCCTGATTTCCAGTGCCCAGGCTGTTGGCAGACAGGGCATGGCCTCCTGGGTGGCTGGGGGTCAGGGTAATACTGTGACCAGTGGCCCTGCTTGCTGCATTTGAAGCAAGTTTTTGGTGGAGATGATTTGGGCTGAGCTCCAGCAGGATGGAGCCTCATGGCCAACTTTACTTGTACCCCTTGTGGGGGCTCTGGTGGCCTTAGAGCAGCTGCTAAGACTTGGACTTGGAGCGTATTCTGTTGCAGCCTTGTCTGTCGGGTTGACTTGGCTGTCGTTCTCAAGCATTAAGAACTTTTTTTTTTTTTTGGTTTTTCGAGACAGAGTTTCTCTGTGTAGCTTTGCACCTTTCCTGGATCTCACTCTGTAGACCAGGCTGGCCTCGAACTTACAGAGATCTGCCTGGTTCTGCCTCCCGAGTGCTGGGATTAAAGGCGTGCGCCACCA